GAAGAGTGCAATACCTGACCTCATATACCAGCAATAATTATATGCAGAGTAAACAATAGAATATCCAAAACATCAGCATTTGCTGCTGAAATATTTTTAATCATGTTAAAAATAAAAAATTAAAACACCTAAGCATTTAAATGAATTAAATATGATCATGAACAAATCTGTCCGGACACATGGTACTGTAGTGTAGACAATTTAAGTAATTTTAATACCCTCCTTGACGAGCCTCAGATTTAAGTGTCAATATAATCAGAAATAGTCAAACTAGTTTGTTAGTTAGGAGAAGAACCTAGCTGTACTGTGCCAGATTTTCAGGTCTCTAGGTTTGAAATTATGAAATCTTTATTGAAAAATGTTCAAAAAGTGTCCAGTTGATGGTCCCCGGCCAGTAGTTGGACAAGGACAGGGACATAGCATCCCCTCATGTAACAAGGTATCTACTCAGGTGCCCTCTGGCAAAAAAGGACACCTATTGGTTTCACATTCCATCAACCTGAAAAGTCACAAAATGATAGAACTGTAACATGGTCTACTAAATGGAATGATTTTAAAACTATAGAAGGTATCAACAAAGTTACATTTAACTTGGAAACATTGTTAATCTTAACAAGGCACAGTTGTTGGAAAAAGGGGATTTTTCTTACTAAAGCAATGTATTAGATTTTTATTCATTTTTTACTTAGATTGCCTATTTAGTAGAATGATATCTATGAAAGATATCTAGAGGTGTAACAATTCATCGATGCATAGCGATCTGTCTTGTCCCCAATGTATGCATCGTAATGAAATTACAAATTCCAATATATTGCGATGCAATACATATTTCACCTCCCGATGTATCGATACAGCGGGAAGATATCGCAATACACTAACAATATCTTCCAGGACAAACGTATTTTTTGAAAGACTGAAGAAAGAAAAATAGCTCGGATGAAAACAATAAACAAGCGCGACTATAATCATACCATCGTTGTCATCTCGTTTCCCCATGTCCGCAATCATTTAATGGTTACTAACCAAGTTTTATCAATTCCATGTAAATGGGCTGGTGTTCTTTGAACTTGTTTATAATAAAAACATAATTAGAGATCTGTGCGATTTCAAGAAAAAACAACCTACAAACATGAATTTTATTTTGTAGCACTTAAATGTCGGATTAAAATAGTGATGATGACAACATCCCCATGTGATATTCGTCAAGTATTTATACTTTCATTTCCGTTGACATCATTTTCCCGTAAAAAACAACAAAGCAAACAAACAGAAAACATGAAGACTGCAAAATATGTAGACGGGGAAATTACAGTCAATCCTCGCTGGTCATATAAGTCAAGAGTTTTGGGAAAATTGTAGTTTTTGGGGAACCATGAGACAGTGTTGTATAATGTGGAAGACCAGACGTGGAGTGTTTGCAAAATGAAAATAAAATACTCTGGGGTTGAGCACAAATCTTTTGAGAAAACTGAGACTGAAACTTATAAACTGTCATTTTCACAGTTGTTGACCTAATTGTAGATCACTTGTTACTATTTTTTTCACAAGAAAAATCTTTAGTGGTGTATTGTAAGACTGAATTTGTTAAACTGCCATATTTACAGTAGTGGACTTCAGTGTTAGAATAGCTAGTAGATATCAATTTGCTGTTATGGTTTAATTAAAGATACCTTTAATCCTCAAGTAATAAGAAAAGTAAATTCTTAAAAGATCCAAATCGGAAACCAAGTTATAACAACAAGTTAAAAGAGTTTATTTTTTTGTTATTGTAATAGTTTTATTTTATATTCGTAATTATGCTGTAAACAAATGGCCAATTTTTTATATACCAAGTCTAAAAGTCAGTATAGTGATACGTATGGCATCGCAACATTAGAATCACAATATGCATCGCATTTCTTCAAAGTATGCAATACATATCGTGAATCGCATCGTTTTGAAAAACAAATATTGTGATATGTATCGTGACAGAAAAAAATGGCAATGCACAGCCCTAAAGATATCCATTATGAAATTTCAAAAGTATTGAATATTTGATTATCACGACAATGTTTAGTTGTGAGTAGCTATCTTGAATGCAATACTTTTAGGAGTTTTGCCTCTTTTTAAACTTATTCATAAAATTGGTTATTTTATAGATGAACATTAACACTGCATGTGGTGCTCTTGTTACTTCATGTGTTACATGCAAACAAACAATGAATGAGTGTAGGACAAATCACCACTGAACAAATTTGCTTACCTCATGTAGACATGTTTTGATGGCTTTTCGCCCCCCCACCCCTTTTTGAGGTCTCAAACAGTGAAAAATGCCCTATTAAGGCCCCAAACACTGTTTTAAGTTTGAGAAATTTTGATAAAAAAAGTGATCTCTTTTTTCGTTCCGCTCTCTATCAATAAGGTACATCAAGGGGTTGCCAGGAGGGGGGATCTGCCTAGGGGCTGGGGCTGGCTGTTGCTACCCTGGGCTGTGGTGGCCCTTACTACATGTCACAACTTCTCCACAAGTAACAGCAACACTGTACTGGAACCTAAACCTCCAGTAGAACTATGTGGTACAGGTAGTTAAAGCTTTGGGGAATTAGGTGAGGTCTAAGTTGTGTCCTGATACAAATATGAAGTGTCCATCCCAATAGAGTTGTCATTGATTCAGTGCAAAGCATATCAACGATATATCGATGTCAGATGACTAAAATCAACGATACACCGATATATCGATAATAACCTATAATTATGTGTCTGTCATTCACTTTCATACCTGTTTAAATTATTTCAGTTAAAAACATGTTTTGTACAGTGTATTGTCCACTGCATTTTTTTTCCAGACAATATCTTTTGTCACCATTGCTATGAAATATTTCCACTATATATAATAAAAGCATAACATTAGACATAAATAAATGTTCTGTATATGTTTTGGGTGATTTTTTTATAATTTCTAGTCATTTAATTAATTAGTCAAAAGTATCGATTTTTTAAAATGTATATCGATTATTGATCGGCAAAAAAATATCAACGATACATCGATATTGTCTCTATCGATGACAGCAGCTCTACACCCCAAGCAGTCAGTCACATAGTTTTCTCTACTACTAGTATGTAGAGTGTGATAGCAGATAACTTTGAGGAAATGAAAATATACACAGATGTTCCCAATTACTAATTCAATTTATTCATTTAGAAATGTCAATGTTTAATATTAGAAATGTCAATGTTTAATATTAGAAATGTCAATGTTTAATATTTCAATATTCCTTTCAAGTTTCTTATACAAAGTTTCTAATAGTTCCTTTTATTAAAATATATTAAGTCCACAATGTTTCTTATCAAAATGCTTCCAGGATTTTTTTAACAGTCACTTTTACATTTATTCAGATTCTTAATAGTTCTTTTTCATAATGATTCCTATTCTGTTCCTATAACAATTCTTAAAAATTCCAATTTTGTCTTAATAACCCTAAAAATACTGTCTTAACTTATTTTTGTCTCTCTCTATATAATATTCTCAAGTATTATTAATTTAAATAAGTAATTGATTAACCAATTAAAATTGAAAAACATTGATTAATGAAATATAATTAAAAAAAAATATTAACCAATGAAAAATAGAAAAGTATTACATGATGCTTAATCTGGATAAAAATTATCTTATGAAAAAAGGTATTAAACATATCCTGTATGTTACATTATAAATTTCCTTATAGCATTAATTGCTGAATAAATAGCACCTAAACCAAAGTGTTGATAAGAATCAGTGAAGATTTCTAAAAGTGAAATAATCTTCTTAAGTGTCAAAGAGTCTGACATTATGTGATATTTAAGAACTAAGAGATAAGTTTACTTAAAATACGCCTTATGGCTTTTTACACCTAAACAGTAAGATAATCAACAATATGATTTCAAAAAATTACAATTTAAATCTGAAAATAAATCAGTTATTATAAAAACATTGTAATAGATTACATACACACTCACATTCATACATAAAAATATTAATATTAGAGCTCTATTTACATTAACTTTTTATCATTTAATAATTTTGCTATTTTTAATTATTTCATTTTCATAAAATAATGGGGTCAAATATGCCCTTGGAGGCAGATGTAAAGATGGCACAGCAATGTTTCACGATTTCTGACAAAACATATTTGGGATAATTTCATGAATTGACCTCTCTGCCAATTGAAATGTTATTCATTAACAAATAATTTGCAAATTTTACTCAAAACTACCAGATTTTAAGCAAGAGGTGATGAAAAATGGACAATGAATTATTGTTTGACACATAATACAATATGTTAGGCAAGCTTAATCATTAACGTTTAATTAAGCACCTAAAAATCACTTTTTAAAGACGAAAATTTCCATTTTTAACAAGTGCAGTATATACAATAGTTTTCCGACAAACTCTGTGACAGTTATCACAAGAACTCCTGAAAAAGTTATCATAAGAACTCCATCCCTCGTGTAACACTTCCTCCCCCTTGATTAGTAATCTGTCCTTTGCAGAGAAATTGCAACTAATGTTTTTGAGTTATCCAGAAAACCAGGTTAGCTAGATCAAAGGGGGAGATAAAACCAAAAAATGAATTGATTATGTTAAAATTTTTGTTAATCTAGAAAAACAAACAAAACAGATTATAAACATAAAATAGTGATTAACTATTGATTGGCAATATTGACCTAAGAATTGTTAATTTTAAAGAATTTTTTTTTGTTAGTTTCAGCAATTTGATGTGATTTGCACTAAGGATTTTAATGATACTGTAGATCTTGATACTTTAATCAATAGATACTTGTTGATGGCCCTAAATTCTATTTTTCGTTAGAGAAATGTTGTTTAAAAAAGTGATCACTTTTTCAGAGCTGCCCCCTATCAAAAGAGTACATCACCAAGAATGTTTTGGACCAAAATGGCTTAATAAAATGGCTTAATAAAGTGGATATAATGTAACTTGTAACCAATGCTGAAAAACCTTTGACTCTATCTCAATTTTGTATTGAAGCATTTTTATAGTTTCATAGTAATTTGAACTTGTAACAGGGGGCTTATAAAAAAAGAAAACAGCCATTTTCACAACATGCTCATGTGGTTAAAGGTTAATTGTGTGGTTCATTTCTAGCATTCTTTTTTCATTTCATTATTTTGATAAATACATATCTTTTTCATTTCATTAATTTCAGTATGTAAAGTCGTATAATAAGTGACTGACATGCATAAAACATAGTGGTCAAGTTTTGCAAAGTATAATAAAAACAAAACATACAAGAAAACATAAAAAATTTCATTTGATTTGAACCTACAATCTTCAATTTGAAACCAACTGGAAGTCTTGCGCCTTAATGTCACTGAAGCTTGTAAGTCAAGTGTTAAGCTGGTAATTCTAAGTTTATTTATACTTTTGTACCATACATACCATAAAATTTCAGAATCTAATACTACCGGACCAAAGGTCATTGAATATTCAAATATCTCCTGTCAATATTGCCAAACAATAGCAATAGCAAAAGACTACATAGATGTAACATTCTGTAAGGTAAAGATGTAAAGACTTGTAAAATAAAATACAAATGATATTACAGTAAACTCAGCTTATAATGAACTCATTGGGACATTCAAAATCTGTTCTTTATATCCGGAGTTCCTTGTAATCATATCACAAACCTATGCTGCTTTTGTGACTGTAAAAGCACCATTGCAAGGCCGTGCATATATTTAACGTGATGTCATTTTATGATTTCTGTCATACAAACATGGCTTCATGGCGCGCTAACACTAAAGGCATGTCACTAACAATAAAAAGAATGACTTTATTTTATACTAATTTATTTTAGTTTGAGTGTGTTGGAAGCTCTAAGCTCTCAATGAAACACTCTCGAATCCATTCCTTTAATGACTTTTGTTCTATACTTGTTATACATGTAGTTATTGAAAGTACCTTATCACATTCATCTGGTCTTTTATTTCACAATATGATATATCAAAATATTTTCCCATTTCAGTCAAATAAATCATCAGCTAGCAATGGTTCTTTGGAGCGCATATCATTGAAGATACTCTCTGTTTTGACACAGAGCTCAAACATCAAGTTTTTAGGTAACTTGTCAATACCACTGGCTGTAAAATAAGGTTGACCACTGGCTGTAAAATAAGGAGAATCTCTCATTTCATAGTAACTGAATGGTATTCCTTTTACTAATATTCCTACAACCTCATTCTCTTCTACAGCAGGTGCTCCTGATGAACCATGTTCAAAAAATGTGTGGCAAGGAAACATATCAGTGTTATGTAATTCAATGTATTCACCTTTTATGCCACCAGGTTCAAGTCCATTTAGTTGCAAGACACTTGGATTTGCATTGAAATAGTTGTCAATGTCTTTTCTTATTTGGTTGTTGTTCAGAACTTCACAGTTGGCATCTAGTTTTTTCCTGGGATCAGTCGGATGTCCAAGTCCAATTATGTTCACACATTTCATTTGGCCCATATCTTTACTCAATTTGAGGCTTGGTGGTAAACTTTCCAAAGATTTAAGTTCAAGTATTGCAATGTCTAGCTGTTTGTTCATGTAAACCACTTCTGGTTTAATGTAAAATATTGGGCTTCGGAGGTCGTTTACTGATGCAGCAAAAGTGATATACACAGTTGGATCATCGAGTTTGGACCAGTCAATGTCAGCAATACTTGACAGTTGTCTAGGATCTGAAAGAAAAAAGTTACTCAGTCTTTTAAAGAATACACATAAACCTCCTTATAGTCTGATTTTATTTACTTGTCAGTTATAAATACAGTATAGCTCACATCCCACTTCGGCTTTGTTTTTGTAATTAACGAGGATAAATGGAGTATATGACTTACATATTGAGAGTCACACCAGCTTGGTCTGTACTCTCAGTGCCTGAAAGGGCAGACGGACACTCATTAAACCTAGAAACATACATCACACCAGCTCAATGTTAAGGTCATTGTTACATCAGTAATAGCACAATCGGTTAAGCAATTGTCTGATATGTGAGTGGTCTGTGGTTTGATCCCTATTGTTGTTATATTTTTAGACCTACACTTTCTTTAATTTTGCAGTAAATTTTGATGGAAATGGCTGAGGACTTGCATAATTGTCTACACGAATATGAAGCAACTTTTTTGTTATCACGATGATTTGACAAGTTAACATACTGTTTGCAAATGTCATCATGAAATTTTGACAAGTTAGCATGGCATTTGCACAAGTCATAATTATACTTGGACAAGTTAACATGTCGTTTGCACAAGTCATCATGATACTTGGACATTTAGTTAACATGCTGTATGCACATGTCATCATGGAATTTTGACATGTAAGCATGGCATTTGCACAAGTTATCATAATACTTTGACAAGTTAACAGTATGTTTTGACATGTCAGCATGATACAAGATAACATGCCATTTGCACAAGTCATCACGATTCTTTGACAAGTTTACATGTTATCTGCACAAGTCATCATGGTAATTTGACATGTTAACATAATGTTTGCAGAAGTCATCATGGTACTTTGACATGTTAACATGCTGTTTGCACATGTCATCACGATAATTCGACAAGTTAACGTGTCGTTTGCACAAGTCATCATTTTTTTTGACAAGTTAACATGGCGTTTGCACAAGTCATCATGACACTTTGACAAGTTAACATGCTGTTTGCACATGTCATCACAATAATTTGACAAGTTAACATGTCATTTGCACAAGTCATTATTACATTTTGACAAGTTACCATGTCATTTGCACAAGTCATCACGATACTTTGACAAGTTAGCATGTTGTCTGCACATGTCATCATAATAATTTGACAAGTTAACATGCTGTTTGTACAAGTCAGCATGTTCCTTTGACAAGACATGATGTAAATTGCACATGTTAACATGCTCAAACTACAAAATAATATCATCGTTTCACAAGATAATAAAAACATTGATTACATAAGACAGTCACGGCGTTCCATAGTGTTGCCTCATTAACTAAAGTTGTTACTTACTTACTTACTTTCTAACTATATGTGTATGTCAAGTGGCTTATTGATTTTTGCAAGCTAAAACCATTCTCTCTATGGCTTAGGTTGCTAAATTGAATCTTGTAAGGGATTTTGGATTCATTCATGGGAGAAAGCCATATCAGTGGTTCTACTTAGGTCACAGTGACATGTTCACTTGTTCCTGAAATAATTTTATGGGGTGAGGGGGAAACCAGAGTCTAAAATCCTTCACTGGTAAAGATGAACAGTCACATTTGTTCATTGTGGTTCCCAACAAAAACAGAAAAGGAAGAAAAAGTTTTCTTACTGGTAATACTCTTCACAACATGCAGAGCTGTCATCACGTACTTGCTCCCGACTCTAAATACTGTCCCTCGTACAGAGCTGCTTGATATGATAGCCCCAACTGACTTCATTTTCACTGCCATGTCACCAACCATTTGCTCTGATAGTGTGTTGTCGTGAGCTTTCTTGAATTTATTTGAACTTCCTGGTCGTATTTTAGAGACTCCATCATCCAATCTATCAATATCATATCTATTTGCTTTTAAAAGCACAACGCAAAAACCAGGTTTTGTGACCAGATCAAGGGTAAATTCATCTTGATTGTCAAGTGAAAAACTGGTGAAGTCTCCATGCCCCTTGGAGTTACCGCATAGTATTAGTCCCATCTCAGACAGGAGATCAGATGAACAAGTTTTTATAAAGTATTATATAATAATACGTATGCCTAGTACAAAAAAGACGTGACTTGTTTCCTGTAAAGACTTTAATATCTTTGCAATAAGTTTTGTAGTCTGTTTGAAAAATTTAAAAGTGACTTTCTTTGCTTTATATTCACAGTAACATCAAAGCAGAAAAGTCTTTATGTACAGTTTCCATTTGTAAATGCCCTGGAAATAAAAAAAATTGACATATTGCGAGTTGTTAATCAAAACTATATTCAAGATAACTTATAAGTTATACATATACACAAGTATCACATACATGCATATACTGGTCAGGGACCATCAACCGGACACTTTTTGAACATTTTTCCGTACAGATTTCATAATTTTAAACATAGAGACCAAAAAATTTGACAAAGTTCAGCTAGGTTCTTTTCCTAACTAACAAACTAGTTGACACTTATAACTGAGGCCTGTCTGATAGCGGGTATCAAAATTACCTTAATTGTTTACACTACAGTACAATGTGTCTGGACAGAACATGACATGATTTATTCAGATAAAAGCTTGGGTATTTTGATTTTTAACATTATTTACAATAATTCAGCAACAAATGCTGAAGTTTTGGATATCCTATTGTTTACTCTACAAATGATTATAGTTGGTATACGAGGTCAGGCATTGCTTTCATGACCCCCAAATTTCAATGTCAACATTCTTGAAAAAGACATTAAAATATTACCATTTACGGAGGTTGAAATAAATTTATTTACTTAATTTTAGAAGAAACATGCATTAATTGTTGATAAAAAAGTGACTGACAACCACTGAATAAAGAAAATACTAAATTAAGCATTTTCAGGGCCGTCCGGATTTGGTGGTTTTACTGTTTTGGTGGTGACAGACCCCACCCAGTATATCATTGTTTTTTTTTTCATAATATGTTTGTGATTTTTTCATACTTTTATTTACTTTTATTGTCATTATGAAGATCATGTAAACTCTGTGAGGTCAGTGGGTATCACTTGTGGTTCAAATTTTGTGAGGAACACACACAAAAATTTGATAAATCATTTCTATTAAACAACTGAAATTCTTAATAGTTGTCCACACCCACCATTATATAAGTTCAATCTCTTGAAACTGAAACATAGTTGTTAGAATAAGATTTTCATAATAACCCGTGTAGGTATGCATTTCTATGATGCAAGTTGCATACTGATTTCATGTTGTGTAATAATACAAGGGAAAGAAGCCAGTCAGTCATAATTCTTAGATAAAAATAGAGTTAGTCCCGTTTTTTTTATGACACTGGTTCAAGTTTAATTTAAGTTTCTTTATCTTATATATTTGTTTATCTACTACATTTTCGTGTATGTCTCCATTTTATGTTTCTCAAAACTATCATTTTCATACTTTTTAAACAAATGATTGATAAAGTATATTTTAAAATCATACTTTAATATGGCTTATACAGAAACAGTCTTATGTATGCCTTTATGGCTATTTATGAGCTTCTTGCAAATCTTTTCATTTTTGTGTCGCCTTGAAAAGGTGACATATAGGGGTTACTTTTGTAGGCGGCGTCGGGGGCGTCTGTGTCGGCGTCCCCTAAAGCTTGTCCGGAGCATACCTCAGTCATTATAAGTCTGATTGACTTCAAACTTGGTATGCATGCTTCTTTCAATAACCCGAAGTGCAGTGCACAAGGACTGGTACTCTGCAGTTCTTATTTTTTGAGTTATTGCCCTTTGTTAACTTTCATACACTAATTTTGTCCGGGCCATTACTCTTCAACTAAAAAAGCTATGGACTTGAAACTTCATAGGATGATAGATCTCATTAAGAAGAAGTGCAGTGCACAAGACCCGGTACTCTGCACTTCCTAATTTTTGAGTTATTGCCCTTTGTTAATTTTCATACTTTATTTTTGTCCGGGCCATTTCTCCTAATGTATAAAAGCCATGGACTTGAAACTTCATAGGATGATAGGTCTCATTAAAAAGAAGTGCAGTGCACAAGAACAGGTACTCTGCATTTCTTATTTTTTGAGTTATTGCCCTTTGTTTATTTTCATACTTTAATTTTGTCTGGGCCATTTCTCCTTAAGTATAAAAACTATGGACTTGAAACTTCATAGGATGATAGATCTCATTAAGAAGAAGTGCAGTGCACAAGACCCGGTACTCTGCACTTCCTAATTTTTGAGTTATTGCCCTTTGTTAATTTTCATACTTTATTTTTGTCCGGGCCATTTCTCCTAATGTATAAAAGCCATGGACTTGAAACTTCATAGGATGATAGGTCTCATTAAGAAGAAGTGCAGTGCACAAGAACAGGTACTCTGCATTTCTTATTTTTTGAGTTATTGCCCTTTGTTTATTTTCATACTTTAATTTTGTCTGGGCCTTAAGTATAAAAGCTATGGACTTGAAACTTCATAGGATGATAGATCTCATTAAGAAGAAGTGCAGTGCATAAGAATCGGTACTAATGCATTTCTTATTTTTTGAGTTATGGCCCTTTGTTTATTTTCATACACTAATTTTGTCCGGGCCATTTCTCTTCAATTAAAAAAGCTATGGACTTGAAACTTCATAGGATGATAGGTCTCATTAAGAGAAAGTGCAGTGCATAAGAACTGATACTCTGCATTTCTTATTTTTATGCCACCGCAGCATCTGCAATGCGGTGGCATATAGCGATTCACCTGTGTGTGTGTGTGTTTGTGTGTGTGTTTGTGTGTGTGTTATATAGATTATATAGTGAACTTAAAAAATCTTCTTGTGAAAAACCACAAGTCCAATTTCAACCAAACTTGGCAGGATTGTTCCTTGGGTGAAGGGCTTCCAAAGTTGTTCAAAGAATTTCATTCCATGCAGAAATCTGGTTGCCATGGCAACCAAAAGGAATTATAAGAATAAATTAAAAAAATCTTATAAGGCCTAGAGCTTATATATTTTGCATAAGGCATTGTCTGGTAGACCTCTAACAAGATTGTTCAAATTATAGCCCTGGGGTCAAAATTGGCCCCGCCCCGGGGGTCATTGATTTTCACTATGTACATATTGTAAAAACTTAAAATACCTTCTTGTAAAAACCCAAAAGGCCTAGAGCTTAGATATTTTGCATAAGGCATCATCTGGTAGACCCTTACCAAGATTGTTCAAATTATAGCCCTTGGGTCAAAATCGGACCCGCCCCGGGGTCATTGATTTTCGCTATATGTACATATAGTAAAAACTTAAAACACCTTCTTGTAAAGACCCAAAAGGCCTAGAGCTTAGATATTTTGCATAAGGCATTGTCTAGTAGACCTCTACCCAGATTGTTCAAATTATAGCCCTGGGGTCAAAATCGGCCCCGCCCCAGGGGTCATTGGTTTTCCTTATATGTATATAGTAAAAACTTTAAAAAAATTCTTCTAGCAATTGACAAATGCTAGAGGTTAGATATTTTGCATGAAACATTGCGTTGTAAACCTCTAGCAAGATTGTTCAAATTATAGCCCTGGGGTCAAAATTGCCCCCGCCCTGGGGGTTATTGATTTCAATATATACATATAGTAAAAAAACAAAAAATCTTATTGTCTGAAGGTACAAGGCTTAGAGCTTAAATGTTTGATATATAATATCATCTATAGGTCCTCTACCAAAGTTGTTTAAATGTCAAAAATTGGCCCTGCCCGGGGGCAGTGATTCTCATTGTGTACACGTAGTAAAACCAGAAAATAAAACAAATGTTTTCTGAATGGGAGAAAGCTATAGCTTTGATATTTGATTTGAAATGTTGTTTGGTGGACCTGTATCAAGATTGTTATTAAACCCTTGGGGTCAAAATTATGCCTTGCCCAAGGGGACAGTGACCTACTTTCTTGTCCTTTGATGTACAGCAATGACATTTTGACCATGTGCACAGTTTTAGTTGTTAAATTGAACTTTGACCTAGATTTTGATGATGTGACCTACTTTCTTGTCCTTTGATGTACAGCTATGAAATTTGAACCATGCGGTGGCATAGCATTTTTCTCAAATGCAATCTTGTTTGAGTTATTGCCCTTTGTTAATTTTCAAACTTTATTTTTGTCCTGGTCATTTCTCCTCAAGTATGAAAGCTATGGACTTGAAACATCATAGAATGATAGATCTTATTGATAAGAAGTGCAGTGCACAGAAACTGCTGCTCTGCACTTATTATTTTTTTAGTTATTGCCCTTTGTTATTTAATATTTCATTTTTGTCCTGGCCATTTCTCCTAAACTACAATGTTCACAAGGCGACACATCCGACACGCAGAGTTCTAGTTCAAATAAATATCTGATGCACAAGTTAAATATATAGTAAAAAACTTTTTATATTGCTTTATTATTGATTGTGTTAAATGTCGGTATGGCCTTTTTGTCTTATTTAAAAAAACTTCTGATATACATAACACCTAGGTGAAGAATGACCACCATAGCTTGTTCTATCTTCATATCAATTTCATAATTAGTTGTTTTTCTGCTTTCATTTTTCCATTCCAACTTGTGTGTCTTTTTTTAAGCCTTGTGTGACTAAAAATGGCCAAAAAGATCAAAGGAAAAAGTCACATAAGTACCATGTTGTGAGTATGTCCGTCTGTCTGTCTGTCCGTTAGCAATTTGGTTTCCAGAGCATAACTTAAGTTCCATTTAGCCCACAATATTCAATCTTCATAGGATGATTGTCCATATTGGGTAGAAGACCCCTATCGATTTTGGGTCACAAGGTCTAAGCTCAAGGTCACTATTACTTTAAAACTGAAAACAGTTTCCGGAGCATAAATTAAGTTCCATTTTGCGCACAATATTCAAACTTTATAGGGATGATTGTCCATATTTGGTAGAAAATCCCTATTGATTTTGGGGTCACAAGGTCAAAGGTCAAGGTCACTATTACTTTAAAACTCAAAACAGTTTCCGGAGCATTAATTACGTTCCATTTGGCCCACAGTGTTCGAACTTCATAGGATGATTGTCCATATTGGGTACTATTAATTTTGGGGTTACAAGGTCAAAGGTCAAGGTCACTCATTACTTTAAAACTGAAAACAGTTTCCAGAATATAACTTAAGTTCCATTTGGCCCACAGTGTTCAAACTTCATAGGATGATTGTCCATATTGGGTAGAGTGCCTATATTGATTTAGGGATCACAAGGTCAAAGTTCAAGGTCACTTTTACGTTAAAACTGAAAACAGTTTCTGGAGCAT